ACAAAAGCCTGACAATAAGAGGTGCTAAATATATTCTTCTGAATCACTGATGAATATTTTATTATGTGTCTGACTCCTTAGACATCAGCTTCTCTAGCTTTATTTCAGTGCATCTTGTTTTCTACCCTTAGCATTAAAAACACAGCACCTGACACACGGCCTTGTAAATAACTGTCACTTAGTAATAAATGAGTGAATAAATGTTACATCCTAATCTTTGCTTAAGCTTAATTAGCTCCCATCCTCCCTTGGAGATCTTTACTTTTCTTCCCACTTTCCCCTTTTTCCTTATTTCTATTCTTCTCTTTCTCATATCTACCCCTCCTCCTCTTCTCTCTCTGCCCTTTCTAATCTCACTTCTTTAGTCCATCCCCCCTCCTTTCTTCCTCCAAATTCTCCTTTTCTCCTTATCAATTGTCCCCTCATTTTCTTCTCTTATTCCTCTCTCTCTCACGGGACCATAAAACATCAGAATCAGAGCTGGCCTTAATCTCTTACTGTGCAGATACTGAAGAGGAGCTACCACAAGATGGCACAATCCGCTTTAAGGTCATAGCTAGTGTAAAGCTGAATGAATCAGGACTAGATCTCAGACTCTTTCTCCCTCCTCTCTTCTCTCTTTCATTTCTGCTTTTTCTTCTCTTTCTTAGCACAGTGTTGGAGTCAGACAAACTTGCATTTGGATCTCAGTCCCATCACTTACACTGGTGACTTGCAACATATTATTTAACTTCTGTGATCCTCAGTGTCCTCACAGGTTAACTGAGATATTAATGTGCACCTCAAAGGGTTGTAAAGGTTAAATAAAAAGTTGAACAACAACAACATACACAGACCAAAAAAAAAACCCCACAGCTAACATCATACTTAATAGTGAGAAACTCGAAGCTTTCTAAGGTCAGGTACAAGGCAAGGATATCCCCCCTCAGCATTCCTTTTCAACATTGTACTGGAAATCCTTGCTAAAGCAATAAAGCAAGAAAAAGAAAGAAAAGGTATACAGATTGGGAAGGAAGACATAAAACTGACTTTGTTCGCAGATGACATAATCATTTATGTAGAAAGTCTGAAAGAATGAACAACAACAACAACAAAAATCTCCTGGAACTAATAAGCAATTATAGCAAGGTTGCAGGATACAAAGGTTAATACACAAAAGTCAACTGCTTTCCTATATACCAACAATGAACAAGTGGAATTCGAAATTAAAAGCACAATGTCATTTAGTAACCAAAAAATGTGAAATACTTAAGTATAAATCTAACAAAGCATGTAAAAGATCTATGAGGAAAACTACAAAACTCTGATGCAAGAAATCGAAGAAGAACTAATTAAATGAAGAAATAATCCAAGTACATGGATAGGAAGACTCAATATTGTCAAAATATCAGTTCTTCCCAACTTGACCTATAGATTCAATACAATCACAACCACAATTTCAGCAAGTTATTTTATAGATATCAAAAACCATTCTAAAATTTATATGGAGAGGCAAAAGACCCAGAATAATCAATACAATATTGAAGGAGACGAACAAAGATGGAGGACTGACACTATCTGATTTCAAGACTTACTATAAAGCTATAGTCATCAAGATGGTGTGGTATTGATGAAAAAATAGACAAACAGATAAATGGAACAGAATAGAGAGTTCAGAAATAGACTCCCATATAGCCAACTAATTTTTTTTTTTTTTGCGGTACATGGGCCTCTCACTGTTGTGACCTCTCCCGTTGCGGAGCACAGGCTCCGGACGCATAGGCTCAGTGGCCATGGTTCACGGGCCCAGCCGCTCTGCGGCATGTGGGATCTTCCCAGACCGGGGCACAAACCCGTGTCCCCTGCATCGGCAGGCGGACTCTCAACCACTGCACTCCCAGGGAAGCCCCTAGCCAACTAATCTTTGACACAGAAGCAAAGGCAATACAATGGAACAAAGATAGTCTCTTCAACGAATGGTGCTGGACATCCACTTGCAAAAAAAAAAAAAAAGAATCTAGACACAGACTTTACACCCTTCACAAAAATTCACTCATATGGATCACAGACCTACGTGTAAAATGCAAAACTATTAAACTCCTAGAAGATAACATAGGAGGAAACCTAGATAACCTCGAGTATGGTGATGCCTTTTTAGATATGCCACCAAAGACATTATACATGAAAGAAATAATTGATAAGGTAGACAATTAAAATGTAAAGCTTCCTCTCTGAGGTAGACAATATCAAGAGAATTATAAGACAAGCCACAGACTGGAAGAAAATATTTGCAAAAGACACATCTGATAAAGGATTGTTATCCAAAATATATGAAAAACGATTAAAACTCAACAAATAAGAAAACAACCCAATTAAGAAATGAACCAAAGACCTTAACAGACACTTCACCAAAGAAGATATACAGATGGCAAGCTCCACATCAGATGTCATCAGGGAAATGCAAAATAAAACGATAGTGAGATACCACTAGACACCTATTAGGATGGCCCAAATCTGGAACACTGGCAACACCGAATGTTGGTGAGGATGTGGAACAACAGGAATTTTCTCACTAATTGCTGGTGGGAATGCAAATTGGTACAGCCCAGCTGGAAGATAGCTTAGCAGTTTCTTACAAAACTAAACATACTTTTACCATATGATCCAGGAATGGGGCTCCTTGGTAGTTACCTGAGGGAGTAGAAAATTTATGTCCATACAAAAAACCTGAACATGGATGTTTATAGCAGCTTTATTCATAATTGCCCAAACTTGGAAGAAACCAAAATGTCCTTTAGTAGGTGAATTTATAAACAAACTGTGGTACATCCAGACGATGGAATGCTATTCCGCACTAAAAAGAAATTAGTTATCAAGCCACAGAAAGACATGAAGGAAACTTAAAGTGAAAGAAACCAATCTGAGAAGGCTACATACTGTATGATTCCTACTCTATGACATTCTGGAAAAGACAATGTTATGGAGATGACAAAAATATCAGTAGTTGCCAGGGGTAGGAGGCGGGGAGAGATAAGTAGGCAGAGCACAGAAAAATTTTACAGCAAGGAAAATACTCTGTATATTATAATTATGGATATATGTCATTATACAGTTTTCCAAACCCACTGAATGTATACCACCAAGAGTGAACCCTTAGGTAAACTATGGACTCTGGGTGATTACGATATGTCAATACAGGTTTATCCTAGGTAAAAAATGTACCATTCTGGTGTCTGATGTTGATAATGGAGGTTATCTATGCATGTGTGGGAGCAGGGGGTATATGGGAAATCTCTGTACCTTCCTCTCAGTTTTCATATAAAACTAAAGCTGCTCTAAAAATATAAAGTCTTTAAGGGACTTTCCTGGCAGTCCAGTGGTTAAGACTGTGCTTCCACTGCAGGGGGCAGGGTTCTGTCCCTCATTGGCAAACTAATATCTTGCATGTCACAAGGTCAAATAATAATAATAATAAAAGTCGTTAAAACGTTGAACAAATAAAGGCCTGGCACATAATAGAATATATATTGCCTCTTTTCTCGTTCTTTCCTTATATTTTTCTTTTTCCTTCCCTCTTTAAATGGATAAGGTTGGACTCATTAATTCTTTGGTTCCTTCAAACTTTGGATGCTTTATTATGCCTTTGATTCCTTCTCCTCACTTTCATGTATCAGCTCTTTCATTTATTTCTTCTTCTTCTTTCTCCTCCTCTGCCTCTTCTTCCTCATTTTATTCTTCTCCTTCTCTTTGTCCTTTCCCTGTTTGTTTCTCCTTTTGTATCATGAACCAAGCCATGTGGACCATAAACATTGAGCTTAAAGTCCCCTCAGCTCCAGCAGTCTACCAGTTCTATGATTTTTTTTTCAGTTATCTTCTTTTTCCCTTTATCTTTCCAGTACTTATAAATTACTTAACTTCCCTGGGCCTCAGTTTTTCCATTTGGAAAATGGAAACAATAATGGATTGTTATAAGCATCAAATGAATGAAGTAAAGCTGTTAGCTCAGTGCCTCACACAAAGGCTCCAAGACACTGTTAACTTTGCTCTCGTTTGACTTTCTGCGAGCCCGGGATGAAATAAAAAACACTATAGAAATGTTAGTTTATTTTTTTTTCCCCCTAAAGTATCACAGTGAATTGGAAAGTTGGCTCCAGGTTTGAAAAGACATGGGTTCCAGGGAAAACTATGAATTCTTATGAGCCTCAATTTTCTGATCTATAAAATGAGAATAACAATATATGCCTTCCCTCCACCTAGTGTTTTTTTCCTTCCCGGGAATTAAAAAAGTCAATGTGTAGGAAAGCATCACCCTATAAGTACGTGTGGTAATCATGACAGATGGTGTTCTGTAGTCACAGTGGGGATGCTGTAAAGTTACGAGGATTCAGCGGGATACATTTTTAATTTTAAAAGATGCCTGACCTACAGTAAGCATTCGATACATGCTATAGCTATTACTATTTCCTTTACCGTGTCCACTCTTTTCTCTAGATCCTCCAAAAAAATGAGTGGTTGCGCTACCCAGGTGATCTCTGCTGCTCAACTTCTATTATTGATTGTCCCCGTCCTCTCACCTCCTCATCCCACCAGGCTTTTTTCCTCCTCCCCCTCTCTTACGATCACAGCTTTCATCTCGCCTCAGGCACCCCGTGCAGCCAGATGTCCAGATCTCAAGCAGCTTAGAACTGCCGGGACCGGCCTGAGACCTGGAGTTCCCTCCGCTTTTAGCGTCTAGCACTCTTCCAACAATAAAGTTTTATTGAAAAAAGCCGAAGAAAAGGCGCCCGTCCTTCTTTCTGCAACAGCCAATCAGAGGGCAGAACGCCTGCTTCGCTCACGGGAGCTTCAGCAGTCAGAGGAAAGGGCGGGGCATGTCGCTCCCGAAGCCCGCCCCGTAAGAGCGGAAGTACGGCCGGAAGCCAGCCATAGAGTTTAGGGGCCAGAGCGGCCCTGCAGGGAGTTGGCAGGAAAGGCTGGGAACAGCTGCCGGAGGTGACGGAGCGGTGGCCCCGCCCGGTACGCTGGAAGACGAAGCTTCCAGGTAGCTGTCCGCAGGGTCTGACCCAGAATACGACGGGGCAGCCGGCGGGAGCCCACGGTCCCTGGGCGGCCTCTTTAAGGGAGGGGGCGGAGCCACGTGGAAGGATCCCGAGGGTGAGGTCACGTGCTGCGGGGCACATGCGGGGCACAGTGGCGATTTGAGGGAGCGTCGTCGTTGGGGTGGACACTATGTGACGTCCCTCCCCCCACTAAGACCTGTGCCTTGGGGTTCAGTGGGGTGCACTGGTGGGACTTGGGGATAGGCCCAGGGATGGGGGAGGTGGGCGTGGCAATCCTGTGTCAGCCAGGCTGCCATCGAAGTGGCTGAATTTAGGATTCCTAGATCCAAGGGTTAGACTGCTCCGTCTCTGATTCCTCGTTGCAAAAGTGGCTCAATGCCTCTGCAATAGAGGTCCTAGGCCTTGTGCTTTCCATCCTCCCCAGTTCAGGAACCTCCAGCTTCACATCCTCTTTCCTTGCAGCTCCAGACTTCCTGAGCCCAGGTACCCCCAGCTCAGTGCAGCCATGAGTGCCGAGGTGAAGGTGACAGGGCAGAACCAGGAGCAATTTCTGCTCCTGGCCAAGTCGGCCAAGGGGGCAGCGCTGGCCACTCTCATCCACCAGGTGCTGGAGGCCCCTGGTGTCTACGTGTTTGGGGAACTGCTGGATATGCCTAATGTTAGAGAGGTGGGTTCTTGGCCTGGATAGCACCCAGGGAGGCTTGGGGCTAAAGTTTGAATTTGAGAACGGGTGGGCAGGGCTCATTCTGCAACCCCATAACCATTCAGTTGAACAAGAATATGGTGATTATTAACTGGCAGCTTGCAGAAGTAAGTAGGCAAGTAAACCTCTTAATTCCCCTTTGGAGATGAATGATCTGTAAAACCCAGTATTTTTCATTTTTAAGCAAAAGAGCCTGTGATTCAGAATAGGAGACCTGATTCTAGCCTGTCTCCATCAGTGTCGTAGCTCTTAATAATCATATTGCCTTGATCAGGTCACTTTTATTTTAGGGCCTAAATTGTCTTTTAAAAATGGACCTGAGGGGGAAAAAAAAAAAAAAAAAAAGGACCTGAGGGCTTCCCTGGTGGCGCAGTGGTTGAGAGTCCGCCTGCCGATGCAGGGGACACGGGTTCGTGCCCCAGTCCGGGAAGATCCCACATGCCGCGGAGCGACTGGGCCTGTGAGCCATGGCCGCTGAGCCTGCGCGTCCGGAGCCTGTGGTTCGCGACGGGAGAGGCCACAACAGTGAGAGGCCCGCGTACCTTAAAAAAAAAAAAAAAAAAAAAAAAAAAGGACCTGATACTGCCCTTCACTATTGTTGTAGAAATCAGATGAGATTATGGGAAAGTATAAAGTCTGATACAAGTGGAAGGAATGAATGTGAAATTGGCATGATCTGTTCTCTCCCGTTTGCACCATATGCTAATTCACTTAAGTTTGATAAGGTAGAAGTTATCTTTTTCCCAAAGACACATGGCAAGATGCTAGGAACGCAGCAGAGAGAACTGTTCACAGAGAAGTGGCAGAGTTAAGAGTTTAAAGCCCAGAGTGAGTAGGTTGCCAAGATGGGTGACGCCAGCCGAAGCCCTGAGATGTTATGACAGTGGTAGGTGGACAGGTATGAGTTAGGTTTTTGAGTGCCAGTGATTGAGTCAATGAATTTAGCCTTTTGGAATCCTTCTGGTCCGAAGAAAACTGGCTGCCTTCCTTCCCTGCTCTCCTCTGCAGTGGAATTAAAGAGAATCAGGGTGAAGGAATAGAAGTGTGTTTTGGGTTCCTGTTCAGCACTCTGCTAGTCATCTGGGAATACCAGAAAAGCACAAGATACAGTGCTCCCCTTGTGAAACTTACGTTCCAGTTGCAGAGAGAAGGTGAATGGATATCCATGCGTAAATCATTTATTTAGCAAGGATTTATCAGCAGAGCAAACTTACATGCACAGCTCTGCTAGACCTAAGTGGGATACCAGAGACCACATCTGTAATCTTGTTGAAAAGAAAGGTATTCTTAGGTAACAACCTTAGGTGGGCTTCGACTGACTAAGTGGGTGATCAGTGGTAGGAGAGGAGGTCTGGGTGGACCGGCTTGGGTGATGAAAGCTCCCGGGTGAGGCCGGTCTGAAGCAGAGGCCACAAATCCCAGTGCCTGCTCAGTTCGTGCAGCCGTGAAGGGAGTGAGGCTGAGGCAGAAGTCTTTGGTGAATTGGAGGGTACAGCAGCCCCCCTAAAGGTATTCAAATTCAGAAATGCTAAATATACTCTAAGGACCAGACAACACAGTTTGCAGTGTTTGGGGGGTGTGCGTGGTGTGTGTGTGTTAGATACTAAACACTGAAAGTTTTCAACTCTGAGTTTAGGGTAGGAATGGGAGGCAGATGGAGCAAGAGGACATTGCGGACTGGGGGGATAGTGTAAACAAAGGCCTGGAGGCGGAAGTGAGGCCTTCCTGTGGGGAGAGTGGTCAGAGAGGCAGAGAGCTCCTTTCGGTGAGCTGGGAAGCTAATGTTGGAGGGGAAGGCTGGGGCCAGAAAGTGGAGCTCAAACTGGGTAAGGCTGGGAAGGTGGAGAGAGAGGCCCTTCCTGTCACTTCTTCTCTCCCATCATGTTCTCACAGCTGGCTGAGAGTGACTTTGCTTCCACGTTCCGGCTGCTCACGGTGTTTGCTTATGGGACGTATGCTGACTACTTAGGTAACAGGAGGGGCTGGAGGTCTGGAGACTGGAGGTGGGAGAAGGGCAGTTTACCGAGGGACTTAGAAGAAATTCCTGGGATACCCGACTTAGATCCCTTAAGTACACAGGGTCAGGGTCAAGACCTGAATTGGCATGGAAAACTCAAAAAAAAAAAAAAAAAAGGCAAGGGAAGGAGGCTAGGGCTTTCCACAAATGTGAAATCAGGATTTCTTTGTCTTTTTTTTTTCTAGCTGAAGCCCGGAATCTTCCCCCACTCACAGAGGCTCAGAAGAATAAGCTTCGACACCTGTCAGTCGTCACCCTGGCTGCCAAAGTCAAGGTGAGTGACAGTCCCCCCAGTCCTGAGGCGCAGAGAGCCCTTCTGTATCTCCCTTCTCGAGGGTCCATCTGAAGGGAATGGCATTGGACAGCCTTTGACCACCGTGTTGCTTCTTCCTGCCTCGCCCCACGCCCCTCCAGGGTCTGTGTCTGAACGCTGTTACCTGCGGCCTTTGGGGCTGAATATTATTCTCCTAGTTTTCTATTTTGTTTTTCTTTTTCAACCAACTTAAGTTCTAATTAAAACACCTTTTACGTTTGGGGTCAGAATAGCAACTAGGATACCGCTCACTGTCGTTCAGCAGCCCCTCTTCCCCCCGCCGTAAAGTCCTCTGCAGACAACCGCGGCATCCAGAGCTGGAATGAAGCTCTCTCTTCTGGGGAGGTGCCAGCTTCTGTTTGCTGAAATAAGAAACGCGTAACCCAGGGTATTCCCTGGCAGTCCACTGGTTAGGACTCGGCGCTTTCACTGCGGTGGCCCGGGTTCAACAATCCCTGATCGGGGTACTAAGATCCCGCAAGCTGCGCGGCGCGACCAAAAGAAACGAAAGAAAGAAAGAAATACATAGGCCAGAAGTGTCTTTGTATATCCAGCTGGGTTCTGTTTTTGTTAACTCTCCGCCTCCGCCCACCTGCGTCTCCCAGTTGTTACTGACTCTCGGCGTGCTCATGGTTTTACTTAAACCAGGCTGTCTACTGCAAGATTCCTCTTTGGAGGTAGACGGAGTATAAATGGTAAACAGGGTAGCTCCAGACCTCTCCCACACCACATCCTCCCATTATGTCAAGCTCATCTTGACCAGGTCCGTGCTGTGTCCTGAGCTGGGCCAGAGGATGGACATCCAGGCAGATGTCCCCCTGGGGTGGGGGGGGAAGGGAGTAGGGGAGCATATGTCTTTTATTTAAGATTGTTCTTCTCACGTTGTTATTTCTCAGGTGGGAGTACTTTTATTTATTTTACCTTAGAACCAGTCTCTTAGAGGAAACGATATAGGAGTAGGAGCGGAGGGTGGGCGGGGGGTGGGGGAAGGAGGGAAGAAGAATCTTGGAAGCCCTTCTCTGCTGCGGAACCTCACAGCCCCAGCCCGCCCTCGGGCCCCAGTGTATCCCATACGCAGTGCTGCTGGAGGCCCTGGCCCTGCGGAATGTGCGGCAGCTGGAAGACCTCGTCATCGAGGCCGTGTACGCCGACGTGCTGCGCGGCTCCCTGGACCAGCGCAACCAGCGGCTGGAGGTTGACTACAGCATCGGGCGGGACATCCAGCGCCAGGACCTCAGTGCCATCGCCCGAACCCTGCAGGAGTGGTGAGACCTGTGTCCCGGCGCCGTCCCTTCTCTGCTCGCCCCAAGAAAGGGAGGGATGCTTTGGAGGGGGGCGAGTTGGGCCAGGAGGCAGAGGTGGAACCCAAGAGGATGAAGGGGAGTGAGCTCGTTCCTCCAGAGGCTTCTGAGGGAGAAAAAGAGTGGAGGAGGGCCTGGGGGTCAGGAGGCCGGAGGCGCGTCCTCGATGCAGTAACCGGGGGAGGGAGGGGTGGTACTCTTGAGCGCACCCCCTGCGGTGTGGATCACGTGTCTCCGGCTGCATGCAGGCCCCTGGTCAGTGAGCAGCCCTGTCCACAGGCCACGGGCCTCTCCCGCTTCTGTTTTCTGTGTTCTTGTCTGACTTGAGCTCATTAAGACACCTCCTCTTTTTCCTCTTTGCCTCCCCCACCCTGTTTTGGTTTTAGTTCCTACTCCCATCTTGCACATCACTCCGGGCACTTCTCTCTCCTCCCGTATCTTACCTGAGTGTCCTGCTGGCTCCTGGGAGTATTGTCGCAGGTGGCTCCCAGGTGCCCTGGCAAGGCTTCTGACTCAGACGGGTCTGGATGGCCGGACGTGGGGGTGTCTGCGAGTCTCTCTTTCGTGAGCCTGATCACAGCCCTCCTCTGCTGACCCTCGTTCCCGCAGGTGTGTGGGCTGCGAGGTGGTGCTGTCAGGCATCGAGGAGCAGGTGAGCCGCGCCAACCAGCACAAGGAGCAGCAGCTGGGCCTGAAGCAGCACATTGAGAGCGAGGTGAGCAGGCGGGCGTCCCGGGCAGTGACGGCCGCAGGCAGACCAGGTGGGCAGGGGCTGGCAGGTTCTGGAACCTTCCTCGTTCTCCCCACTCCTTTCATCCTGGTAGGTCGCCAACCTGAAAAAAACCATTAAAGTCACAACAGCTGCCGCCGCCGCGGCCACGTCTCAGGACCCCGAGCAGCACCTGACGGAGCTGAGGGAACCGGCTCCAGGCAGCAACCAGCGCCAGCCCAGCAAGAAAGCCTCGAAGGGCAAGGGGTGAGCGGCTGCGGCGGAGCCGCCGGCGTCCGGGGGCCCTGCTGCTGCTTCCTCGTCCCTCCCGTCACCTGCGTGGGGGTCGGGAACGGGGGAGCTTGCAGCGCTGAGGGGGTTCCCTGCAGCCTCTCTCTCTCTCTTCCCCTTGCCAGGCTCCGAGGGAGCGCCAAGATTTGGTCCAAGTCGAACTGAAGGGACTGTCGTTTCTTCTGGGATGTGGGGTCCTAACTGCCTGCCTGCCCCTTAGGAGTCCTCAGAGAGCCTTCCTGTGCCCCTGGCCAGCTGATAACCTAGTTCATGACCCGTCACCTCCCTTCTTCTCTCCCACACCCCCAGGCATAGACCACACCGTCTCTGGGGGGAGGCAAGTACAAGTCGTGTTTTTGTTGCTACTTTTTGTTTCACGTAACTTTCTTGTGTGTCCCATTGTCCCCTCTTCCTGCCACGCTCCCTCCCCTATTTCTTTAGGAGTCAGCGTCTGTCCCTGTTTATTATACGTCACTGAGTGGGTGGGGCTGCCGTGTCTCCAGCATAACCCACACGTGATCCCTTCCCCTTCCTCCGCCCCAGCCCTGCATGCCCAGCCTCCTGCCCACCCGCCTGTTTGGGCAGCATCTGAACAGCCATAGGGCTCCCACCTTTATTCCCACCCTGAGAGTTCTGGGAGCCATTCTAGGAGTCACTGGACACTCACATCCTAGAATCCTGTCACTCTGCAGTTGTTTCCTGTCCTCTCTCCTCCCCTTGGGTCCTGGGAGTGCTGCTGCTTCAATGACCCCAGAGCCTCAGGGCAGCTGTTTCTTGAGCTGTTGTGAGATGGTCCTTTCTTGGCCTTGGCTGTCTTAGAAAGCCTGATGGCAATCCTGGAAGGATTTACACTTCCTTCTGTGAGTTTTGTGTGGAAGGGCAGGGGATATAGATTGTATAAAAAGAGTATATATACGTATATCTATATATAACATGACACAGAAATAAATCTATGAGAAGTCTATCTACAAACACGCCCTGAACTGGGTGTCTTCTGTCTTTGGTGTTTGTGGATGGGAAGAAGGCTCATTCCCAGTCCGCTCTAAAGCAAAGTGCCGGAAAAACAAAAGAACCCGGTACTGGAGACCTAGATCGTGGGCCGTTTGACTCTGGCCAGATCGGCTCAGCATCTCGGCATTCTTTAAGAAGCAGTGGATGCTCACCGAGCACCAGCATGTGGTAGGCTCTGGAGGTCCAAAGCGATGGGCACTGTCCCTGCTCTCAAGGAGCTTGAGTTCAGCCTGTTTCCTTCCACCTTATAGAATTGTAGGCGGAAGAGTTGATAGTAAACTTCAGTTTTTGCATCAGTACCACACAGGACTCTCCCATCTCAGTAAGAAGCAGCAGTCAGGCTCCTGTCCCTGTCCAAGGCAGAGCGTCCAAGCAGCATGCTGGGAGGATTAGTCTCCTTGGCTCAGCGCACTGCTGCGCACGCCCTAGAATTGGGAAGCTCTAGTGTAAGTGACAGCTGCCCCGCCGCCGCCCCCGCCCGTGCATGAGAGGCGATTGCCTCCTGAGGGTCCCAGTGTTGACCGAGTTGCCCTCCCGAGCTTGTGCTGTCCTCTAGGTGGAGATGTAGGACAGACTACTGTTCACTGGTCCTAAAGGTGTCAGTTGTAGAATTGGAAGTGGGGGTAGATCCCGAGTTTTCGGTTAAAAGTGGTCCGGGTGAGCCAGTTATCTTGCAGGGCAGCGGAGACTGAATGGGACCAGGCCAGTGGGCCCTGTCTCGGGAATTGACACTGTTTAGCTTTGGCCTAGGCTAGCCTGTTGAGCCTGTTGCATCTTGAGTCTAAGTCTCTGAAATAAAGCCCTTCTTCCTCCCACACCGTCCACTGTGCAGAAGTCACTAACTACTGATGCTTCAAGCCCGTGCCCCCTTTCCCTGCCCAGGCCCCATTTTTCTCTTGAACGTTAGTATCTCATTTTCCTGTAAGCTGCTTCCAGCCCTGACTCCACAACTGCCCTGATCTGTCTAGTGCCGGCCTTCCGTGGGTGTCTCTACAGTCTGGTGTGGGCTGGGCTGGGACTGCCTGGTCCTCCACCCAAAGAGGGAGGAGGCGCCGTTCACAGCCCCAGGGACATGAACATGCAATTTATCTTTGATTTACAAAGACAGGGCTCTTGGCCCCCAAGGCTTGGAGATGGGGGAGTGGAGTATTTGGGGGCTGGTTTTGACCATGGAATTTGGTTCAGGATTTAGGGATTCCGTGCATAACCAAGCCTAGGGCACCAGGAAGATTCTCCCAACCAAGAGTCTTATCAGCACTTGGACATTCTCACATGCTGATCCCTGCTGTACAGCAATCTCAGAGGAGCTCAGGGCTGGACCACTATGGTAGGGAGGAAGAGGAAGAGAACTTGGCTTCCTGTGAGTTCAGAGTTCGTGCACGTGAAACAGGTGACACTTAGAAGGTAAAGACAAAGTCTCCATAGCTAAAAAACATAACTGGACTGGGGCGCACCTTTATGCACAAGAAGAGCAAAGGCAATGTCTATAGTCAATGTTTCACGCGATCCCGTTAAAGAGGGGTTAGAAATTCTCTGCTTAGGTTCAACTTCCAACATAGGTGGAGAGAAGGGAGTTCAGCGGGGCAAGTCTAGGCAGTGTATGAGTTCTCTTGCTGTGTAACAAATTACCCTGAAACTTAGTGGCTTAAAACAACACACATTTATTATCTCAGTTTCTATGGTCCGCGAATCAGCACAACTAAGTTGAGTTCTCTGCTGAGTTTTCAGGGTCCCTCCCGAGGCTACAGCACAGTGTTAGCGAGGGCGTCTCATCTCAGGGTTCCAGTAGGAAGGACTTACTTCCAGGCACACCCAGTGATTGTCAACAGGATTCATCAGCTTTAGGTGGTCAGACTAAGGACTTCATTCCCTGGCTGACTGTATGTCAGAGGCAGCCCCATTCATCAGAGCAAGAGCCAGAGAGAAGATATCAGCAAGGTGAAATCAGTCTTTTGTAACCTAATCACGGAAGAAACATCCCATCAATTTTACTAGTCACCAGGTTCAGCCTAGTGACTATCAGAAGGCAGGGATCATTGGAAGGCATGTCAGAAGTTTCCTACCTCAGGCAGTGTTTCTTTGGTCCACCGGCATCAGAATTATCAGGGGAGCTTTTGAAAATGCATATTCCTGGACCCCAGTTCCTACTGAATTAGAATCTCTGGGATTGGACTGGAAATGGGACTTCACTACCCTCATTGACTCAGCTCTGAGCTGTGATGTCCCATTTATATAAGCAGACTTGCCCAGATTAGTGCCACCTAAGATCAGCTGAAAAGGCTTCTACTGCAGGGCCTTGGAGGACGGGTGAGGAGGCCCTGGGTCACCATCGGGAAAAGAATGATGAGCAAAGGTGAAACTTTGAGTACAGGGCGTGAGAGAGGACTTGTCCTGTCTCTGAGGTTCTTAAGTATATTGTTATATAATTAAAAGAAGTGTGATAAGTACTAAGACATATAGGGTGACATGAAAGCGCTTACCAGGGGATCTACTTGCCTGGGGTCAGGAAAGCCTCCTCCCAGGATGTGACCTTTAAATTGAAATTAGAAACCCAAGTAGCAGTTAACCTGATAAAGGGGAGGGAGGATGAGCAATCTGAGTGGGAAGAAAAGTGGGATGAAGGCCTAGAAGCAGAAAGGTTTCATCCTGTGGACTACTGCAGCTCCCCTAATAAGAAATGTGTAACGTGGGGCATGCGTGGGGAATCCAGTCCTATACTTTTACGTATTGTTCATCTGTCCAATCAATTGGTAAATATATCTTGACTGAAAAATCTGAAATAATACAAACCATAATGCATATATTATACTTCTGGGCATTGGGATTTTGGGTGATTTTTGTCTTTTTGCCTGTCTCTATTTTCCAATATTTCTATGATAATTTCTAATAATAAATAATATTATTTATTACTAATAAATATTTATTAAGTGCTTACTGTGATCAAGCACTGTTCTGAGTGCTTTATGTATATAAACTCATTTAATACACACAACATTCTGAGATTAATATCACCATTATCCCCTTCTAAAGATGACAGAAGTGGTACAGAGAGGTTATGTAACCAGCCTAGGGTCACACAGATCATAAGTGGAGTAGGCACACACCACCCTGTCTGTCTCACGCTACTGGACAGAATGCATGGAGCAGTTATCCGAGATCTATGGTAAATAGTAAACAAAGTAGGGAATTCCCTGGCAGTCCAGTGGTTGGGACTTCATGATTTCACTGCCGAGGGCCCGGGTTCAATCCCCGGTCGGGGAACTGGGGTCCTGCCAGCCACGCGAATTCAAAGTTATGCTAAACCGGTGGTGAGTTTACCATTCCCTCCCCCCCTCCAGTGTTGCCCAGATTAGACTCAAAGACAGCCCCAAACCTAGAAGTGTACATGAGGTGTGAACTGAAAGAGCTCCCTTTGGAGTCTTCTATTGCACATCTAGAGAGCAAAAAGGGACTCCTAAGGGTCAGTGAGTGGGGAAATCCCGTTTTTCTTCTTCCCTTCTCCCACCTCCAGCCCCAGGGAATACCATGGTGGCGGCAGCACAATGACAGCAACAGTGGCCTGGCAGGCACTTAACTCTAGGGAGGAGAACCCTTTTCTCTGACCACAGGAGCTCTGGTCCCAAAAGTGTGAGGCAAATCCCCTCTGCTTTTTTCTTTCTCTGTTCTCTTGATGCTTGGCCCAGACACACAGTGAGAAATGCCCAGCAGAGGAGAGAAACTTTAGTTTCTAGCCCAACTTTGGGCCAGAAGATTGGGAAGGGAAGCCCCAGAGAACCAGAGAGTGTCAGGATATTGCAGAAAGGAGGGAAGCCAAGAGAACAGCCCCACTGAGCTCTGTGGGAACTCCTGGGCTCACCTGCAGAGTGAGCATGAATCTCACCTAAACAGCTTAACTGAATGGGGTTTTCAGTCTCTTAGGTGTAACACGTGTGACAGCTACAACACAAAGGAATGAAAGCAAAGGGACCTGGGTGATGGTCAAGTTTCTACACTTAAAAGGAATTGGTGAGATACACGTTCTCAGTGAACTGTGAACATACGCATTTTATAATCCCTAGAGCAGGGGTTAGTACACCATAGTCCACAGGCCAAATCCCGCCCACTACCTGTTTTTGTAAATAAAGTTTTATTGGAACATACTTACACTTCATTCATTTACATATCATCTGTGGCTGCTTCCACACTATGGTGTCAGAATTGTGTGTTGTAACAGATATTGTGTGGCCTGCGGAGCCCAAACATATTTACTATCTGGCCCTTTACAGAAAAAGCTTGCCAATCCTGCCGTAGAGCAACCACTTAAAAATTAGTGAAAAAATCACTAGATAAAGTGGAATACTAAATAGTATCCAAGTAAACCAAAAGAAGGCTGGAATGTAGACATAGTGGAATTATAAACAGAGGACCAGGGGCTGCCCTGGTGGCGCAGTGGTTGAGAGTCCGCCTGCCGATGCAGGGGACACGGGTTCGTGCCCCGGTCCGGGAAGATCCCACATGCCACGGAGCGGCTGGGCCCGTGAGCCATGGCCGCTGAGCCTGCGCGTCTGGAGCCTGTGCTCCGCAACGGGAGAGGCCACAACAGTGAGAGGCCCGTGTACCGCAAAAAAAAAAAAAAGAATCCGCCTGCCAATGCAGGGGACAGGGGTTTGAGCCCTGGTCCGGGATGATCCCACATGCCATGGAGCAACTAAGCCCGTGTGCCACAACTACAGGGCCTGCGCTCTAGAGCCCGTGAGCCACAACTACTGAAGCCCGAGCGCCTAGAGCCCGTGCTCTGCAACAAGAGAAGCCACCGCAAGGAGAAGCCCTCGCCCCGCAACAAAGAGTAGCCGCCACTCGCCACAATTAGAGAAAGCCTGTGTGCAGCAACAAAGACCCAATGCAGCCAAAAGTAAATAAATAATTAAATCTTGGACTTCCCTGGTGGCTCAGTGGTTGAGACTCCGCCTGCCGATGCAGGGGACGGGTTTGTGCCCTGGTTGAGCGTTCAGAGCCTGTGCTCTGCAACGGGAGAGGCCGCAACAGTGAGTGGCCCACGTACAGCAAAAGAAAAAAAATTAACTCTTAAAAAAAATAAAAATAGAGGACGAAACAGATACATATAAGTTGATAGAAATAAATCCAAATATAATAATTATATTAAATATAAGTAGCCTAACTACACCAATTAAAAGACAGAAATTATCAAAATGGATTAAAAAAACCAAGATACAACTATATGTTGCCGTCAAAAAAGCCATTTTTAAGTATGACATGGATGGATTAAAAGTAAAAGGATGGGAAAAGATGTACAATGCAAATACTAATCAAAAGAAACTTGAAGTGGCTGTAGTAATATCAGACAAATTAACTTCAGAGCAAAGAAAATTACCAGGGTTAAAGAAGAACATTGAAGAACAATGATAAAAACTTTGGTTTTCCAAGAAGACATAATTCTAAATGTCTCTGCATCTAACTACAGAGCTTCAAAATACATGAAGCAAAAACTGATAGATATTAAGGAGAAAATGAACAAATCCACAATTATAGTAAAAGAGAAATGTCAAAACTGCTCTCCCAGTAATCAACAGAACAAGTAAACAGAAAATCAGTGAATATATTAGAAGTATGTAGAACTGAATGATGCCATCAACCAATAGGAACTAACTGAAATTTATAGAACACTCCCCCAACACAACAGAAAACCCTTTTTTCCCCCAAGTGCACTTGGAACATTTATTATACCAAGATAGACTATATCCTGGGTCATAAAACAGACCTCGGCAAATTTAAAAGACTTAAGGTCATACAAAGTATATTTTCTGACCATAATGTAATTAAAACTAGATATCAATAACAGAAGGATAACAGGAAAATTGCCAAACACTTGGAAACTAAACAACACACTTCTAAACCCAGAGATCAAAGATGTGGTCTCAAGAGAAATTAGAAAATATTGTGAACTTAACAAAAAGGAAAATACAAAATATCAAAATATGAGATGCACCTAAAGCAGTGATTATAGGACAAATTATAGTATCAAATTCTTGTATTAGTAAAGAAGGTCTGAAGTCAACAATCTGCACTTCTACCTTGAGAAGGTACATAAAGAAGAGCAAAACTAAGCAGAAAGCAAGTAGAACGAAAACACAAGAGCAGAATATAATGAATATGAAAACCAAAAAAGAAAAAAATTGGGACTTCCCTGGTGGTCCAGTGTTTAAGAATCCACCTTTCAATGCCGGAGACGCGGGTTTGATCCCTGGTCGGGAAACTAAGATCCCACATGCTGCAGGGCAACTAAGCCTACACACCGCAACTACTGAGCCCACATGCCACAACTAGAGAGAAGCCCACACGCTGCAACAAAGAGCCCTCACGCACCAACTAAGACCTGATGTAGCCAAATAAATAAATATTTTTTTAAAAATCAATGAAACAAAAAATTGATTCTTTGAAATGATCAATAAAATTGATAAACCTCTAGCCATAGTGACCAAAAAGAAAAGAAAGAGAGAGAGAGAGAAAGAAAGAAAAGAGAGAAGATACAAATAACCAATATCAGGAATAAAAGGAGATATCACTGCACACCCCACAGACATTAAAATGTTAGTAAGGGAATACTACGAATAATTCTACACACAAATTCAACAACTTAGATGAAATGGACCAAATCTCAAAGTTACAAGCTACCAGAACACAACCAAGAAGAGAGATGTAAATATAAATGTACAACTATAAAACTCTCAGAAGATAGCAGAAGAAAATCTTAGTTACCAGGAGTTAGGCAAAGTGTTCTTAGATATGACACCAAAAATATGATTCGTAAGAGAAAAAGGTGGTAAGTTGGACTTCATCAAAATTCAGAACTTTTGGCTTCCCTGGTGGCGCAGTGGTTGAGAGTCTGCCTGCCGATGCAGGGGACACGGGTTCGTGCCCCGGTCTGGGAAGATCCCACATGCCGCAGAGCGGCTGGGCC